ACTCCTGATCGTGGGGTCATGAGTTCAAGCCCCAATGTGGGGTGTAGGGCTTTCTTAAATAAATAAAAAATAATTTTTAAACGTTATGCTTTCAAAATTATTTTTAGGTCAATTTCCCTGATGCTTTTGTCAGTGTGTTTGTATTATCAGCATCCAACCTTGTAAATTTTTAAGATCCTGACATTGATGTAATTCACCAGGGCCAAATTATTAACATTCCTCTAGATCAGGGGTCAGCAAACTGGAGTCCATGGGCCGAATCCAGATGGCTGCCTGTTTTTGAATAAAGTTTTATTGGATAGCAGCCTTGTTCATTTGTTTACATTGTCTAGTATTGCTTTCATATTACAAGCGGGCTTGAGTAGTTTCAACAAAGACCATATGCCCCATCAACTATAAATATTTATGTTATGGCCTTTCATGGAAAAAGTAGTTTAAGTGCTTATTATTTATTTATTAATTGATGTGATAATTGAAAAATTCATTATGAGAGCCATTTAGATCATATACCTGGAAACTGAGTTTATTTTTCAATGAAAATTTACATATACACCAGTAAGCTAAGCTTTCATAAATGCTTCTAAAAGTTGCCATTTGTGTAGAGTTTAGGAAGAAATTTAGAAGATTCAAAATGGAAGAGAAATAAATATGTAACATCACTTATAAAATTCTAGAATTGGACAGTGAGTCCACAGTTTTTATTGGAGTGAGAAAGAAGGGAGGAGTAGATGATGGTTTAATTTGCCCACGAAGCTGGGCTGAATCTCTTCTCCTAGTTCTCAGTCCATAATAGGTAACTAAACAGATAAAGCCTTGAGAAAGAGCAACAGATTCTGTGGTGCTTCAGTAGCACCAAAAGAGAATTAAGAGACCAACTAAATCGTTTAGTATTTTCTCAGGGAAGAATCTGATACTCTTTAGAAAACAAACGAAGACACAACCTAAATTATCCTTTCAAAACTTTTGTCTTAAAAATGTCTTTGATGAATGTCTTTCATATTATCTATTATATTTTAATGGACTTTAGAATACTTATCTTTATTTGAATCTAAAAAAAAAGATGGTTTGTTCACACAATACTTACCTTTTTGCAGGAGGTTCGGTGAGTATTATGGTGATGATACCAGAAATTTTGAAAGACAAATCCTTTATATTTTTTATTTATTTTTTGGCAGTTTTTATTTTAATTCCAGTTCGTTAATACACAGTGTTAGTGATAGGTGTACAGTATAGTAATTCAAAATTTCCATACATCACCCAGTGCTCATCACAAGTGCCCTTCCTAATCCCCATCACCTATTTCCCGCATCTCCCCACTCACCTCCCTTCTGATAACCATCAACTTGTTCTCTACAGTTAAGAGTATGTTTCTTGAATTGTCTCTCTCTTTTTCTTCCCTTTGCTTGTTTGCTTTGTTTCTTAAATTCCACATATGAATGAAATCATATGGTATTTGTCTTTCTCTGGCTGACTTCTTTCACTTAGCATTGTAATGTGTAGCTCCATCAATGTCGTGGCAAATGGCAAGATTTCATCCTTTATGGCTGAGTAATATTCCATTGCAAATAGATAACCACATCATCTTTTTCCATTCATCAGTCAATGGACATTTGGGCTGCTTCCATATCTTGGCTATCGAAAATAATGCTGCTATAAACATAGAGGTGCATGTATCCCTTTGAATTGGTGTCCTTTCAATTCTCTAGATAAATACCTAGAAGTGCAGTTGCTGGATCATAAGGCAGTTCTATTTTTAATGTTTTGAGGAACCTCCACACTGTTTTTCACAGTAGCTGCACCAGTTTGCATGAGACAAATCCTCTTTAAAACTTCTTTCTTCTGCTTTTGCTGATAATGCAGTACCTCTTCCTAGCTTGGAGTTAATATAATTCGTCCAGCCTCTGGATAACCTCCAGAGCTTCTGGTTCTCCTTCAGACAGGAGGATGAGCTGGAACTCTGCAGACTGAGATTGGAATAGAGTAAATTGGGAGCGTAGAGGAGAGGTTTTTGTGTGGAATTCATTCCTTCTTCCAGAATGTGGAAGTAAATGCAGAAGCCAGGTGGGTAGAAGAGAGGCAGAAGGTAACTCAGTTGTAGAAAGTTTATAGAAAGTCATCTTTAGAGGGGGCGCCAACCTGGCTTTGTTGGTAAAGCATGTGACCATTGATCTCAGGGTTGTAAGTTCAAGCCCCACGTTTGGTGTGGAGCCTACTAAAAAAAAAAAACAAAAAACAAACAAACAAACAAAACATCATTAGAAGGGAGCTAGTTGTTCACCCTGTAGGGAGGGTAGCTGTAAAATAATCCCTAATTCTTAAGGTAGCAATTCGCCTAGTAGGGCAGGGACCCTCAGAGGCTGGTTCATAACCCATGTGCCAAAGGATCAACATTTATGATTGACATGATGGCGATATATCAGTTTAATTTGTTGTTTCAAGTCACTGTGGAAGTGAAAGTATTTGGCTAAATCCACTCATTAGTTAGCTGAGCATGTAGAATCCATTAAGTTTCTGCAGAGATCCCCAATCTGTTGTCTTTGGGGCTCTTTTATCTAAAATAGGCAGGGCTGTTTTCATGCAGGTGTTCTTTCTTCAACATCCAAATAATCTTTAGAAATGGAATAGGTGCAAAAGTTTTACAGGGGAGAGAAATGGCTAAAAAGTTTGTGGAAATGTATAATTTCTGAGAAGAAACCCAGCTTTTACTTTGCATTTTGCCTGGTACATGATTCTGATGAGTTGTGTCTTGAAACAGGCACTGAGAAAGTTTACACAGTTATTATAAAAATGCTAATATTGCTCACAGTCTTTTTAGATGACTTTTTAGAGTTAATGTAAGGTTCATTTTGAATTACCTGATAAAAACTTATTGTATGAATCATTTTTAACTCCCAAATATTATTTGTTTCTTGTCTTCAAGTAACTTCTGGTTGTTCAAAAAACAAAACCACTGCTACAACAGCAAGGTAAAACTCAAAGGATGAAAATAAATTGTCAATACTAATAAAAGAAGATGATTGTGCCATAAATAGGTTATTGCTAATTTGGACTAATGAAAGTGACCACCAGAAAAAAAATCCTTACAAATTTGAATCATTTATATTTCCATAAGAAAGAGCTTTGTTCAATGAAAGTACACATAACAGTGTAAAATAATGCTTAGCAATGTATTCCTATTCTATATTTGTTAAAAATTTGTGGGTACTAATTTTTGTAGAAATGGCTTAAAGGACTTGACATTTCTTTCTTTCCAACCAAAATTCCTCACTTCCATACTTGCTTATGAAATAAAAATATTCAGGAACTCCTATTTTCATGGTAGAAAACTTTAAAAGCTTCTTTATTGTCACACACACAAAATTTTTTTTTTGATTCAAAGCAGAGAGGATTATTTAAAAAGACAGCTTTTTTTGTGACATGTCTCTGGTAGAAATACTTGATGAATTTATTACATGCAAAAGCTCTAATTGCCACCTCTTCTTATAACTGAAATCACTTTTGGTAATTAGGAAATAAATACCCACAAGTATTTAATTTTATAGGCACATATAAAGTATTAAAATATGTATTTTTTAATTTGGTAGTAAAAACTGGTATAGACTTTTAATATTGGTATTTTTCTCTTTAATTGGGAAGGGATTGCAAGGTTTCAATTTTATTAAACTGGAACTCATATCTAATTGTCATTGCTTTATAAATGTTGGATAAGGTTACCTACTTTTAATTATCTGCAAGCATACAAAGTCCATTGAAGATTTAGGGTAATATCAGAAAGGAAGACAGAACATGAAGACTCCTAACTCTGGGAAACGAACTAGGGGTGGTGGAAGGGGAGGAGGGCGGGGGGTGGGGGTGAATGGGTGATGGGCACTGAGGGGGGCACTTGATGGGATGAGCACTGGGTGTTATTCTGTATGTTGGCAAATTGAACACCAATAAAAAAATAAATTTATTATTAAAAAAAAAAGATTTAGGGTAAGAATCCATCCTTGTCCCACATTGTGAGAGGCAGCGCTTCTTTATAAAGTCTTGAATATTCATCTCATTCAATAGCTATGGAGGGAAAATGGGAATTACACACACAGGCACATCCACACACATATTGCAGCTAGGAACCACCACTGCCTGCCCTCCCTCCCTTGACTTGACCCTACCTTTTCCATCCACCTATGTGTAAACAAAGCAGGTGTGGTCCAGGCAAACCCAGAGTTTTCAGTGTTAAAGCAAATAAATGGCTTAGCACCTCAGCCTCCTTTTTGGTGTTTGTTTCCATATATAAATGTGTTTGAGGTTTTCAACAACGCCAGAACATTGGCTGTTAAGAGACGGAAAACATGCAATTTATAGCAGATGGGTGAAGCCTTTTCCTGGCAGTGTTGCTGAAATGGGATCAATCAACAGCACTTCATGCTTCATTTGTCCAAAAGCAATCCACCTGGGGAAACCCTGTGGAACTGCGCCTATTAGGAAAACACCTTAACACGTTGCTTTAAATAAAAACCTACCAGTTGGCATTAATCTGGAAGAAAATAGTTTCTCCAATGAACCCTTTGCCACCTGAATTTCTCTTATCTTTTCTCCTCTTTTTGAATCATGATCCTTTATTCTCTTTGCTGGCAAAAGATGCAATACAGAGAATCCATAGAGATCCCTCATCCATAGAGCTTGAATTTTGAACTTTTTTCTCCCTAATTCTCGAGCTCATGGTCTTTTTACAGACCTCATGGGGCAAATATCTGACTCTTCTCTTTGCACTCAGGGTCCCCTCTGTGCTGCCTTCTCTTTGGTTTCTTTACCTCCTCCTCTCCTTAATCTTGGAGTGTGTTAGGCTGGCAGTGAAAATTAAGAGCCAGAGGGAGCCCCGCAACTTTCACTGTGCAAGTAACCCATGATGAGCCGGAGTGAGGTTTGGGGGATGAGGAAAAACAAATCAGGTGCTTTGGAGGTTCAGAAGTGGCCATGAGTTAATCCTTTTTCTTTGATTCCTCCAACTTTTCCAGGTGTAAAGTGGATATCGGGGCCCTGCCGCTCAGGCAAGCCAACTGCTTGGAGCTGCCTCTAGAGAGCTGCCTGGGGGCTCTCCTGATGTTGATCACACTTACTCCCTGTACTGGAGTCTCTGTCTCTGATCTCTGTGTGTGCCCCTTGGCAGACCCCAGCGAAAGAAAGCAGATTGCCCAGCGATATGTGAGTGCTTTTGCCTTGTTACACCACCCCCCACCACCTCCACTTTTGATTTGAAACAAGGTCTCTGAATTTAAAAGCTGCATGAAAAGAGATCTTTGTCCAGAGTTTAATGGCATGTCTCATAAAACAAGACATCAGATCTAGAGGTTAATGCACTAGCGAGAAGGTGAAAGTAGATTAGAGTTTGCGATTTTCAAAGCCCAGAACAGTATTTTGAATTTTTAGTTTTTAGAAAGTCATTGCAGAACATTGAAATCCATGAGGCAAACTTGTTTAGCATGTCTGTGTGTGTATATGAATTTTAACATAAGTTCACAAAAGCTTTTTTTTTTTTTATTATTTAATCAGCCATAATGCTTGCAGTGTTAAAGCTACCTTTCCAGAACCTCTCAAGATCAAGTGAGAGAGTGCTTATGTCTTGGAAAACAGCTCAAAGCCCTGGACAGGCACAGAAAGCCATTCTGTACCACTCTGGATAATAATAGCAGTTTCTGATTCTTGCCTAAGTAGTTGCAAGGAGCTTAAAAGTCCACTCAACATTTTTAAATCAAATGTCTTCGTGCTCTTGATTTATTTTTTGTACTCTGGCTTTCTAGGTGCCTTTATTTGCATTCTGCTTTCATCCTACCTTCTTTTAAATCAATATGTTTATTTTACGGCCACACATGAAAGGCATGTTTTAGAAAAGCGGTATGAAAATGAAGCAAAAATGAATCCCTATTTAATGGGAATATTATTCTCAGCATAAACTTTAGTGCCTCCATAATCCTTCACTTTGAGGTGTATTGATTAATTGAATAATTCTTTATCTTCAGGAGTTAAAAACTTAGCTACACATTGTCAACACAGACTATGCATGCCCAGTTGGTATGCTTTAAAAGAGTTTCTACAAAATCCACTTATTAATATTCTCTCTGATGACTGCAGTTAAGCAAATAAAAATTTGATGGTAAATATTAAGATTTCTCCCCAAACTTTCCCGTAGGTAAATTGCAAAATTTGCCAAATTTATGAGGGGTATCATATATTTATAAGGTGATTTTAGATAAGATCATAATGACTGCTTTGAATAATGCCTCAGGATGTGAGGAGTACTCCGGGAAAATAGATTTGAAAAGGCTAATCAGAATAGAAATATCAAGTGTTTTGTTTTGTTTTTTCAGTGAAAGAGCTGGCCAACATGTTAGAAGGAAAGAATGCCCTGTCATAAAACACAAGTTCCAGACCTCTTGTTTTTTAGCTTGTAAGAATAGATCATCTTGAAGGCATTTCCACATTTAAACTATAAAAGTATTTTATTTCAAATATTTCCTGATTAGCTTAAACTAGTTTTTTTTTCTTTTTTGTTAGGTTGAAAATACACAGCAAAAACAACTTTCAGAAGTGCCTAGAAATGGTGCATATGAAGTTAAACATGAACTATTATTCAGTTATTGTTATTTTATCCTGAAATGCCTAAAGAACAAGGATTTTACTGTCTTCCCATAAATCTCCAAAGCCTGCCTATCACAGGTTTTTAGTTATCCAATGATAGCGGAAATACTATATCCTAAAGTTTGAAAGCAGAATCTTTTCAGCAGATGTGTTCTGGAGGCATGCAGAGATCGTTTATCTGCTTGTCTCATGCACCATTTCTGAAGGATTCAATGTATATGCACAGGGAATTATTCTGCATTTTTAAGAATTATCAGTAGATACATTCAAGTGTTGGCTCATGCAAGCTAAAAAATAAAATAAATGTGAATACAGGGTGATACTAGATGCTCAGACTCTAATTTAATGAGCTGACTAAAACGTGGACCAGAAAATGCATCGTATTTCCATCCTCACTCTTTTTCCAGTGGTAGTAAGTATCTGTGAAAGGTCCAGATTGAGTCCTCTGGTATCCATAAAGTTTGTACTAATGAGGTCAAAAAAATGTTGCCTTTTTGAGTGACTTAAAAGTTTCATTGAAGAGAAAGAAGGGGAAAAAGAGAATGAATGTAGCTCCACACACATTTTCCCCATGGGATATCTATGCTATCACCAGGAGGCAGTGTTAAATGTAGATTGTGTGTGCTTTGTGATTGGTTTATTTTGAAACTAGTTCATTCTCAGTCACTTTAAACTGATTTCTGCAAAAGCCTAACTGTCCCATTGACTGATAGAATGCATTTTAGAACTTTCCTGAGCTTTGCACCAAAAAAGTGATGGTAAATCCGGACTGTACTTCTTATAGGACTTTATGGCAGTAAATAGTATATTAGAAAGCTATTTTCATGTATGATCTACTTTTCTCCCCTTCAGCGCTTACAGAATTCCCTGAGAGATATGAAGGACGTCGGCATTTTACAAGTGAAGGTTTTAAAGGCAGTAGATCTCTTAGCAGCAGATTTCTCAGGTATAAACATCTTTCATTCAGTTTCGTTTTTATTTATTTCCTGTTTTGAAATGATCTGATGGCAAAGCAAAATCTTTTAATAAGTGGAAGCATACACAAGCAATCATGCTCTTCCAAAGAGAGTAATAGAAGGGAAAAAAATGATGTAGTCAAGCAGTTTTTTTCACTTACAAACGTTTTTCACCAGATTATTTTTTCAAATAATTTTACTCTGATTAGATAATATACTAGTCCCATTGGCTTTCAAATATATTTGTGGATGATTAGTGCCATGACTTCTTTACTTGTTAAATTAATTTTCTGAGAAAATTTTACTGTACTACCTCAAAAGACAGGTTCGACTTCCTGGCGTCACTCCTTGGTGGTGTTCTTTGCCTAGAGTGCTCCATTCTTCACAGTGTAAGAGAAAGTGGTGGTTTGTAAATTTTAGCATGAAAGCCCATCTGGCTGGCACTTCTCTGAAACAACAACCAAAGTCTTGGCCGTGGGACCACTTTGCAGTTGACATGGTCTTATACAAAATTTCTATTGTTAACTCACTAACTTGACCTTGTAGACAGAGGCAAAAGCAGACATGCTTTGTGCTGAGATATGCTTGACTGTGAGGAGAGTAATCCAGACATCCCACTGTCTGATCAGAGGGTGACTCTTTTCTTATTGCCAAATTAACTCATTCTACTAAAAATGGAGAGACACTGATGTGACAGATGCTATTTACCAAGCAAATTGATATAAATACAAAGAATACAGTGTATACAAAGAAGAGTGTAGAGGTTTTATGCATGGCCAAGGTACTGCAAGCCTTACTTCATCTCCTATTTTTAGAATGTGGTCTGCCTTCTTCTAGGCAACAAGTTACACTATGTGACAATAGCCTTCAAACTTTGGAGCCTGAGAGGAAGATCAGAGTTTGGAAAAGAGAATTTTAATTTTAAGCACTTTCTAAGAAAAAAAAAAAAGATGAAGAAAGGGATGGAAAATATAAACTTATTTTTTTAAAAAAAATGTTCTAATCCCCTTCCATCAAAAAATGAACCAATAGAAATCACTACTGTATAAACCATAAGAAATAAGATGATGTTGATCTTAAGGAAATGCCCAGGGAGAAGATCCAAAAATCATATTTTGGCTGGTATGAATAAATGAATTTGGGGGATTGCTGGTGAAATACTCAGATGATTACTTCTATTCATTAATTGGTTAAAAACGTTTTCAGTCTCAGTTTGATTTAGAAATTTTCCTTTCTTTTAAAACTTCTGTATAGTTTATGAAAACACTTAATTCACCCTTTTCCCATCTGCCTTTGGCATGGGGAGTTTTGTTATCAGTACTGTACATTTAGAGTTATCTACCAGTCTTCCAGAGGCAATTATTTTTATTTCCATCTGAATGTTTACATACAGTTCTTTTTGAATCTATGATTGTTGATGTCTCAGGAAATGTCCCAAACACAAGAACTCATTCATGCCTTCGAGCTATATATTTAAAAATTCTCTCTGTAGTTGTATGTTTGGGGATCTCTAGGAACTAATTGGAATGCATTAAAGCTTTTTTTTTTTTTAATCTTGCTTACAACTGCATCCATATGTGGAAATACTTTTAAGAAAACCTTTATTTTACCCATCTGGACAGGTGCCCTCTCTACAGCCCCTAAAACTAGTAATTATTGAGGTGTTTCAGGCCAGTGTCAACTTTTCCAAACCAGAACAGTATTCTGGCTATTAAAATAAAGTGAATAGGAGAGAAATCTGGGGGAAAAACAAAAACAAAAACAAAACCTGGAAATATTTGGAAAGACCAGAAAACAAGGCAAGAAAAAAAAACCTCTCTTTTCAGAAGAATAACTTTTGGGGGAAATATTGTCATTTTCTTTATATTCAAGATTCCAGTAGATAGTTTTGGGGTGGATGAAGGTGAGTACCAGAGGATTCCAGTAGCAAAGAGGAATGGTTGCAAACCCAGTCATGCTGTAGGGTTTGATTGAATGCCCTGGTGTTTTACTGTCTCTGTATTGTTTATGAGAAAATTACTACTCTTCTGAATTGAAGCAAAGATCCTTATAATTAGCTAAACGTGTCTTTAGACCATATTGATCTTTATTTTTAGAACCAAATTTCACAGTCTGTGTTCTTTATAGGTTGACAGGCTTCCGCGTGAATCTTCCAGTCTGTTCTCAACCAGGATAATGCTTTAGGGCAACAAAGTGGACCTAATGCAGAGAGTTGTAAAGTAAATTTTCTATATGAAAAAAAAAAAAAAAAGATTCAGGTGGCAGGGAAGTAGCCCTAAGAGTGTAATTAATACCTCCAAGAGCTTAGTTACTGTATCATATCCTGGGGACTCAGCCTATTGCTGCTGTTACTGATCACTGTTACAATTTACTTGATATGCAGTAAAAAAAAAATGCTGGCTGATGGGGAATCAGAAGGTATGTACATGCATGCTGTCAGTAGCAGAAACATTTAAGAAAGAAATAACTATTTATACCCCATACCCAGCCTTTTCCAGTCGTCTATACTTTATAAATGAGTGGTTTAGGGAGCAAAGTATTCACCCTTGCAAATAAAAAAGAAATCTATTTACTTTGAGTAACCAGAGTACAAAAGGTTTGGAACTTTCTAACCTTAATATTTCTGTTTTACATTTCTTAGTAATTCTTTGTTTCTTAAAAAAAAAAAAAAACATAACAGTTGATACTTTAAGTTTGTTTCACTGAAGATTCCAAGGAACCTGATAAAGCAAAGGTCCAGTGAGAGATCTTTTATGGAGGTTACTGCTACAGTTTGCAGAGTACAGGGACCTCTTGTCCTGCGGCAGAAATGAATGTACTTGGTACTTGGTGTGACAGAAATTAATGTACTTGGTAAGCCTTCTTGTCAGTGTTTTGTCCATTTTCAAGTGTTTTTGCAAGGAACAATTAGAAAAAGAAAATATTTGCCACTGTGCTCATAGTAGGATATTCCTCATTAGCAGTTACTGGTGTTGTGATTATGTAGTCATGAAAAGAAATTAAATTTTGGAGAAAGTGAATCCCCATTACTTTGCTAATATTTTAGAACATTAGAATATTATGTACATATTACATATATAATATATATACTATATATGTTATATATATATATATATATATACACACACACACACAAACATATACCAAGGTGAACTTCCCATTAGAAATGAAAATATGTTTCTTATATAAACAAAAAAGTGTATCTTTCAAAATGTATTAAGATATTAATTGCCTAAATCAATATTACCAATATTAAGTTATTTACAAAAGATAGAGGCTTCAAAGCTCTAATGTATAAAAAGGATATATTATTTTTGAATTAATTCATTTGTTTATAAATACACTATGTGATTGAACCAGTTTAACACTAATACATTTGAATTTATATATAGCTTGGCATTTTTTTTTATGCCTGACATTTGTTTGTATATAAATGAGAAGACTTTTTCTTTTTTTTTCTTTTTTTTTTTTTTGTTTTTTTTTTGGAGAAGACTTTTTTAAAAGAATCTGAATTAATCTATCTTCTCTTGCAGCCCATCCCTCTAAAATTGGTGAAAGACATTTTAATGTTCTCTACAGCCAATATTAGATGTGGATAGCCATAAGCAGTCATTCTAATAGAAGAGCCTGTCAGATATTTTTATTAAAGAGTTTGTCTCACAAACACCTTGTGCCCAGGATAACCTAAAATTTTTAAGTAATAGGTTATCCATTCTGATGCTATTACTTCTATAGTAAAACAGACTATAGCCTTGATTCACGGAACAGATGATAAATTGTACCTTGAGACTCAAGGTGAGCCTAGCTGTTTGTAATACTTAATGAGACCCCCATGCTCCGCTCAGCTGCCGCCAGTCTTAAAAGTCAGCTATTTTGAGAAGAAAGTAATCCACTTTCTAATGATTAAACGAGAGAGGAAGGTTTTGTTCACGACCAAGCTGAAAAATGATGTGAGCAACAGGTTCCCTCTCCACAGTAAAACCCTCAGAGAGAATGAGGGTGTATCTTCTACTTTGCCCAGAGGTATATGTCAGTTTCATGAATTAATACTGCTGGGGAAAAAAAAAACAGGGTTTAATTCATTAAAGATAATAATATAGGTGATAGATAAATGGAAAAATTGTTAGAGAACTGAAATATTTTTCTGGTCAGAATTGTATTTCAGTACAAATAGCAATTCTTATTTTACCTATTGAGAGACCAGTGATGAGTAGCCAACTATTTACTAAATATTCAGCACATATAGGGAGAATTGTTCTAGAGAGCCTTGTTAGAGTTGATAGACTATTGTGGGAAACCTGTTGGATTTTAACACATAGGGATGGCTTCAGTGTATGAGTACTGAAGACATCATGGCGACCATTTGCATAAGGTACGTGCCAAGTTCAACACCTAGTCATGACTCTTCTCTTATATTCTCAGAATCAAGATGTAGGTTTCACACTTCTTCCTTCCTGCTAATTAAGCCATTAAGCCTTATCTTTATTCTTTAAAATAATTCTTAAATGTTGACATCCTTTCCCCTGGGGAATCTTATAGTGTTAAGACTGGTTATTCTTTGGTCTCTCTCTGCTTTATTCTCTCACCCTATTTACCACTACTGGGGTGCCCCTAGCTGTTAAAAATTCTGGCATAAAATGAGGATACAGAAACAGAGTTTTCATTACCTCATCAAGCCAACAGCAGCAAAAGAGCAAGTAGGGCAGCATTGAAAGCCCACCTCAGTGTAGAATGATAGTACATACTATAACAATGTGACATAGGTCTCAATATTTCTGCTTTTTGTTATGCAATTCTATCTTAATTCTTTATGTTCCTAGCATTATAATGATATGCCATGATAAGAAGTTGGGGAAGTATCAGGAAACAATGAAGGAACAAAACTGCAAATACCATCGTTGCTTACAATCCGGAATTACTTGTTCTCCTTGCAACTTTTTGGCACATTTTGCCATATGAAACCTACCCATAAAACACAAAATATTCCCAA